CGAGGCACAACGGTCTATTGGTGAGGGTTATCACACTTCATTTTCATATGTCATTAATAAATCATTTGATGTTTGCATTCAAATTTTACGCTCTTTGTCTTTCTTTTTACTTTCTTTTAGCAAAATAGCTATGCACTCTTACACACACACACATATTAAATTGCAGATCCACGTCCACCCTGGATCCCATTGATAACAGTTCTGCTATTGCCAATTATAACTTTGAAAATTCGATCTACCATGCCAGGGACGAAGGTGAGGAAGATTGTGAAGTACCAGGAGAACTTGCTAGACTATTACAGCAAGAGGAAAGCGTATTACAGCCTCATGAAGAGCCAGTCGAGGCAGTAAACTTGGGTACAAAGGAGGATAAAAAGAAAGTCAAGATAGGTTCCAATTTGGAGAATGGTGGTAAAGAACAGTTAATCCAGATGTTACGTAACTATGTTGAGATCTTTTCATGTTCATACGAAGACATGCCGGGACTTGATACTGATATCGTGGTTCATCGTCTTCCAACAAAAGAAGATTGCCTCCAGTGAATCAGAAAGTTCATCGTATGCGCCCTGAGATGTCAGAAAAGATCAAGGCTGAAGTCATGAAATATTTTAATGCCGGATTCTTAGCTATTACTTCTTATCCACAATGGGTTGCAAACATGGTATCGGTACCTAAGAAGGACGGTAAGGTGCGTATGTTTGTGGATTACAGATATTTGAATAGGGCAAGCCCCAAGGATGACTTTCCGCTTCCCCATATTGATGTTTTGGTTGACAACACTGCACAACATAATATTTTCTCTTTCATGGACGGTTTCTCTGGCTATAATCATATCAAAATGGCACCTGAAGAGATGGAGAAAACAACTTTCGTCACATAGTGGGGCACCTTATGTTACAAGGTTATGCCATTTGGGTTGAAGAACGTTGGGGCAACATATCAGTGTGCTATGGTAGATTTATTTCATGATATGATCCATCACGAGATAGAGGTCTATGTCAGTGATATGATAGCCAGTTCTCAGACTGAAGAAGAGCACATTTATCACCTGCAAAAACTGTTTGAAAGGCTGAAGAAATACAAGTTAAGACTGAACCCAAGCAAGTGCACCTTTGGAGTAAGATCTGACAAGCTCTTAGGTTTCATCATCAGTGGCAAATGTATTGAGGTATATTCTATGAAGGTTAAAGTTATTTAAGAAATGCCAGCCCCCCGCATCGATAAAGAGGTTAGAGGTTTCTTAGAACGTCTAAACTACATTGCCAGATTAATTTCTCACCTAACGTCTACTTGTGAACCAATCTTCAAATTACTGAAGAAAGATCAAGTAGTGAAGTGGAACGACGATTGCCAAATAGCCTTTGACAGAATCAAGGAGTATCTTCAAGAACTTCCAATTTTGATGCCGCCAGTTGAAGGAAGACCTTTGATCATGTACTTAACAGTATTAGAGAATTCAATGGGGTGTGTGTTGGGGAAGCATGATGAGTCTAGTCGAAAAGAGCATACAATATACTACCTTAGCAAAAAGTTTACCCACTGTGAAACAAGATACCCACTGCTTGAGAAAACTTGCTATGCTTTGGCATGGGCTGCTCGCCTACTAAGATAGTATATGTTGGCTCACACTACCTTATTGATATCTAAAATGGATCCTATCAAATACATATTCGAGAAGCCCGCTCTCTCCAGAAGAATAGAAAGACGGCAAATGGTCCTGGTCGAATACGAAATTCAGTACACTACCCAAAAAGCAATAAAAGGGAGTGTACTAGCTGATCATTTGGCTCACCATGCTGTAAACGACTACCAGTCAATGAATTTTGAGTTCTCGAACGAGAATATTATGCTAGTAACTGACTGTAAAGAACCTAGACCATATGAGGGACCTGAAAAAGGATTCTGATGGACTATGGTCTGTAACGGAGCTTCCAACACACTCGGAAATGGAATTGGTGTTGTGATTATCTCCCCAGAAGGTTGCCATACACCCTTCACCACCAGACTATGTTTTAATTGCAACAACAATATGGCAGAGTATGAAGCATGCATTATGGGTATCAAGGCTTCTATTGACATGAGGATCAAGTTCTTACAAGTATACGGAGATTCAGCCTTGGTGATCATCCAAGTTAAAGGAGAATGGGACACGAAGCATCCTAATCTCATCCCTTATCGAGAGCATGTGATGACATTGATTCCATATATTGAAAAGATCACCTTTGAACATGTTCTGTGAGAAGAAAATCAGTTAGCAGACGCGCTAGCTGCAATGTCATCCATGTTTAAAGTCAAATGGGATAACGAAGCCCCTCAGATCACTATTGAAATATTATACGAACCGGCCCACTGTTATGAGATTGACATTGAGGGAGTAGAAGAAAAGCCTTGGTTCCACGAGGTGAAAAGGTATCTCGAAGCTCAAGAGTACCCTGAGGGAGCATCCATCAATGAAAAAAAGTTCTTAAGAAGGTTCTCTGCCAAGTTCTTTCTGGCTAACGAAATTGTCTACAAGCGCAACCATGATTCCATTTTACTGCGGTGTGTGGACAAGAGAGAAGCGAAGAAAATTATAGAAGATATGCACGAAGGTACCTTTGGCATTCATTCTAGTGGACACACAATGGCTAAGAAGATTCTGCGAGCAGGTTACTACTGGTTTACCATGGTGTTGTAGCCCAAAACTTTCCCTCTTATTGGTAAACAAAGTAGCTTACATTTTGTCATTATCACATTCATCATTTGCATTGCATTTACTCGGTAACGTGGGATTAAGAGTCGTGGTCAGACGAGTGAATATTGCCCAAGATAAGAATATCTATCTTCAAAGGTCACATATTTGAATTCTTTTCATCCTAAACATTATTCCAAGTCACGAGGTATATGGGTACAAGATTTCTTCAAGATATTCCAGTTGGATTAGTGTTTGGAGTTATGGTCAACATCCCCTATCTTTGTAATGCAATCAGTGTTCTTGATCAATGGCATGATTTAACTGATTTTTCAAAGCTTAAGATGGTCTCATGGTTTTCTATCTGCATTAAAAGTATCTGCATATGGTCTACTGATCTCCACATTTTTATCAGAAGAATCGGGGTCGATTGAATAAGAAGAGATTTTAGCGTGTATGAGTAAAAGTCAACAAAAGTCAAAGATTGACTAAACGAGATTTTTGGTCAAGATTATTGATAAAAGTCCAAATATGAGAAAATTTGTTGAGTTGTTGAGAAAAAATCGAAAGAATCGGCCGAATTTGAAGTTTCTTGCATTTTACGTAATGTGGACACTTAATGATTTTCAAAAGATTTTCCAAAATGTGGCAAACTTCATGGCTATTTTTAAGGTCCCGTTTAGACTCAAATAAAAAATCTCCGAACATGAAAGTTGAAGATTAGATTCTCCTCTCCGATTTTGATTCGAGAATTTTACCATTTGGTGGCTCGTAGAGAAAGTTATGATGCTTACGTTTGAAGACTAGAGAGGCAAAATGCTGCCAAGACTTTCCTTGCTTGGCCAGCATTTCATCGAGCAGGTGGCGTGCGCACGTTTAGGATGTTTTTATCATGGATTTAATTCTCGTTTCGAAAAATGTCGAACATGAAAGTTGGAGTGTGTTGCGTACTCTTCGTTTTGGGTTTAAACTTCCTTTCATTTTATGCATCGTGGAGAGAAATATCGAAGTGCAAAGTAGGAAGATTGAAGAGGACAAGATGCATGGTGTCACGTGTAGAACTTCCTATGTCAAGCCTGTCATTTTGTCGAGCAGTTGCAAGGCGTATATACATGACATTTTTCTGTGATTAAGGCCGTATTCGGATTGGAGGCGAACTATAAACTTGTTCTATCATTTGTCCTCTTTCCAACTGTATCAAGTTTGCGGAATTTGGATCATTATTGGGAAAGTTGTGAGGTTTTGAAATCACGATAATGGAATTGATTTTTGCATGATAAGTTTTTAGCCACTGCATCCAGTTTTAGTAATACGACTTTGCGATAATTTTTGAGCACGTTCCGAACATTGTTTCAAGAAACTTCCAACATGAAAGTTATTTAGACAATTTCCCTCTTCAACTTTGATGTTGAGATCTCATCCTGAATAATGCTATATTTCAAGATATTAAGTCATAAAATGGAGGTTGGAGCATTGACGGATAATTGCTGGTAATAACAGAATTGCCGGTATTTATTTTAGTTATGATTTCGTAACTTCAGGACCATTTTAGGACGTGCTACGAGAAACTTCCAACATGAAAGTTATTTAGACAATTTCCCTCTTCAACTTTGATGTTGAGATCTCATCCTGAATAATGCTATATTTCAAGATATTAAGTCATAAAATGGAGGTTGGAGCATTGACGGATAATTGCTGGTAATAACAGAATTGCCGGTATTTATTTTAGTTATGATTTCGTAACTTCAGGACCATTTTAGAACGTGCTACGAGTGTTATTTTGATGCGAGGCCAACATGAAAAATGCTCCTTAATGTGTCCTCTTTTTAGTGATGCTAAGATTGCCCCGCGAGAAGTGTTATAGTGCAAGATATAAGAGTGCAAAGGAGGTTATGTGGCCATGCGTATTAAATGGAATCTTTGAGGAAAAGCTACTGTATTATATCATGCAGGGAGTAATATGTTTATTACTACATGTCCATGCGTCATTCATGTTGCATGCATGGATAGAACCATCACTCTCTTTGGCAATACATAACAGAATGTAATAAACTTTCTCTCTCATTTTGCAACAACCTCACTCTCTTCATAACAGTAACACTGCCACTCTCTCTCTTTTTTCCGTGACACTAACCACCATAACAGAAAAGAAACTCACGCTCTCTCTCTCATTCATTCTCTTTTACAACACAGAATCACTCTCTCTTTCTCAATGGTAACAGAATGGTTCTCTCACTCTCTTCACCATAACTGAATTTTTTCATTCACCCTCTCCCTCTACACATAACAGAATTCTCTTTCTCTGGGAGAACAACCTCGCAGCACTCCCATGCTCTCATCACGCAACGAACTCTCACGCTTTCTCTCCACCGTAATAACCTCATTCTTTTTCATCCATCACGGTAACGACTTCACTCTCGCTCTTCTCCATCCATTGTCGTTTCTCGTGTGTTGTTTCGGATTTATTTAAGCTTCTCTGTTCGTCTTCATCTCCAACAAGAGATTAGCGCAAAAGGTCCAAGAGGTTTCTGTCGTTTAAGTCAGCTTTTTGTTTCACCAAAATCATTGGCGGTTTGACCGTGTTCGCACTCGACGAAGAAGAAAGAATGTGACGGATTGTGCATCATTTAGGTTTTTTTTAACCAATGCGAAGGAGCGTGACCAAGAGCTCGCATCTGAACGCTTCAAATCAGGACCAAGCTCATGTGTTTTGCAGTTATAAATGTTTGATTCAAGATTTCCAGATCTAATTTTCATATTGTGATTTGTTGCTGATCGTGTTTGATCTGTGAAAATGGTGGTTAGATTTGGAATCAGTGGAATGAAGTGATGTAGGTAGTGCTAGTTTTCGTAATTTTGTCGAATATTGGAGCAGCTCCGACGGAGACATTGCCAGAGAAGACGGTTGGGCCGCCATCGGTGCACTCCCCTTTTCATTTCCAAATCCTTGAACCTTAGGCATGTCTTCATGTTACTTGCCCATCCAATCTCGTTTCTGGCCAATGGTATTTCATGATTCCTTTTTTATTTTTGTTAATCAACAGCAGAATTATGATTGGCTGGGAAGAGGATTATTCCTCATTAAAATGGATAGAAGAGGATAAGTAGGTAGGAATTGTGATTGGCTAGGAGGAGATGTATCCTACGGATGTATATGGACAAAAATCTGGAAATTCCTTTTATAGTGTTATCGGGCTTAAGCGTGAAGTGGACTAGGCCCAGCGAATCATTACCTTATACCCCCCTAACCGGATTGCACCAAAAGGAAAAGCCCATAATAATTGTTTTTTTTTACAGGATGATTGTTAGTGCCAAAAAGCTCCTTCTGGACTTGGTATGGCTGGGCCTAGCGTCCAGTTTGCTATTATACACCCTATTTCGGCTCAAGCCCCCTCCCTTGAGTTTAAATAATTTTTATTTTCCATGACCTTTTTCCTTAATTTCTTTGTAACATTTTTTTTATAAAAGATTACGAAATTAGTAAAACTTGTTTTTTTAGAAGCTAATTCTTTAGTTGTTGATATTTTTTCTTATAATAAAAAAACAATAAAAATAGTAGAGTATAAACGGAATATTTCTAGAATTTCTTTCCTTTTAATTTTGATTAAATTTTTATATAAAATCCATTATGTTACCCGAGACTCGTGATTCAACTTTGCTCGTTGAGATTGGGTCTTATGCAGGTTTATTATGTGATACGTTGATACGCTTGAGATTTTGATTGTGATTTATTTTCACATAGATGACGCTTCAACACTTATTCTAAGTATTTGATTTCTAACTCTTTTCTTTGTTGCTGCTAGCAGTTCATGAAGTTCTCTGAGTTTCTTTGCTATTTGCTTTTCTTTGCGGATTGATATCCATTTGGTATATTTTCTTTCTATTTTCTCTCAGCACCTACCTCTTTCTAGAGATCATGTACAGAAGGGGTATTTATCTCTTTCTACAGATCATGTGAAGTAGGAAGCAGGAAATAAAGAGAGTTCGCTCGAAGTTACTGTTTAAAGACCTGTAGAAGGCATTTCGTACTTCATTTTCTATATGTATTGTTCTTGTGTTTGCTTCCTTTGTTATTGATCGATGAGTCACTCAATTCAGGAATTGAGATCACGACATCATGCTCAGTGCATGCTCCCTATAGGATTTTATCGCTTTCCTTTATTTCTTGTTGATCGATGAGTCACTCAATTTAGAAATTGAAATCACGACTTCGCTCTCAGTGCGTGCTCCCTATAGGATTTTTTTGCTTTCCTTTATTTCTCATTGATCGATGAGTCACTCAATTTAGAAATTAAGATCACGACTTCGCTCTCATTGCATGTTCCCAATAGGATAGTTTTGTTAGACTTTCTTAGGTAATGCTAGCCTAGATAGGATCTCTCTAGGCGTGCTCTCTTGAGCCTTTTAATTGTTGATTTGTTTTCCTACCTTGATCCTCAATATATTGGTTAGGAATTTGACTTGAGTTAGTGCGAGCTGCTCATGACATATTGTTTGTGCTATCTTGAGCTTATTGGCTTGCTTGCTTGATTTTTTCTTTGTGTGCATGTTTTGAGATGGTATACCCTTAGCATGTTCCCTTAGGAGCTCTTGATTCATCTATAGATGATGATTTGAGATAGACATAGTTTCAGGTGATAGACCCTTGCTATGCTCCTTTAGGACTTCTTGATTCATCTATAGATGATGAATTGAGATAGACATTAGGATTGTTATCCAAGCATGTCAACATAGGGTAGATATTTCCCTTTAAAACTCAACCTTAGGATTAATCATTGTATGATAACATTAGGGATAGATCTAGGTTAGTCTCCCTTAGATGAATTTTTTTCTTTTGCATCCATGCATTAAAACTAAAACTTCCTTTTTCTTGAAAAATATAAAACATCTAACAACTTCCAAATCCTTCTTTAAGGTAAAAGATATCAACCAATGCAAACTCTTTTGCGCCTTCGGGCTTTCCTCTCAACTTTTTCAAAAGAACATGTTAATTCACTTCTGTGCTAACGCGTAAGTCTCCAAAGATCGAGTTGCGGCAAAAGGTGAAATTAATATTGTTCATTAAAAAATACAAACCAACAAAAACTTGTGTAGCCGAACTACGGTTGCTCTGATTCCTTAAAAGGGATACGTAGGCATTGGGGTAGGGTCCGAGCGAGCATAACTTTTATTTTCCCCACATTATTTTATCTTTTCTTTTGCATGAATTCTCTGTGTAGTTTAGATATATATTTTTACACACCCTTTGATTAGAACAACGAGAGTGGATACCATAGAGTACTACGGGCGTGTGGGGTGCTAATACCTTCCCCTCACGTAACAGACTCCCTTACCCATATCTCTCGGTCGTTTGATCGTGATTTCACCCTTCTCAGGTTTACTCGATGTTTACCTTTCCCTTCATGTGGGATAAAAAACATTTGATGGTGACTTCATTGATTTCATTATCAGTTGATTATTCAGCCGGTTGTTTCAGCTGGCGACTTCACTGGGGACAGATTGACCTATTACTGGTCCATCTCGTAGTCGATCCTAGCTCTTGTTTTCTTTTCCTTGGGTGTTTATTTTTATGCTTTATAGCTTGTTCATTTTATACATGTTTATTTGAGCATATGTTTGCATTGCATTTTATCGCTTTCCATATATTGGTGATACTGTTGTGCTAGATCTGTTTCTATGATTGGGTGGGTGTTACAAGAGGTAAAAGGCCCAATACCCAGGCCAAGTGATAACCATAAGAACCCTAGGAATAGAGTGGAACATGAACGGCTAGTTGACTTAGGTTTCACTATTGCCGCCATGTCGTCCATGCTCAGATGAGGTATAAATGAGGGGTTATCATTTTCACGTAGGTGATATGGCGATAGTTTTTCAGGACTACCCTCGATTCTGGGTTATCTGGCCTTACCCTGACCTAGTTTTCACCCGTGAGTGGGGAGGGACTTGATTATCATAGGTACAGTTGGTGACTATGTTCAGATAATGACTATGTTCTACAAGCGACAGTGTTGTTCTATTGGTTCTCAGATTTATTTTCTGAGTTTCTGATCCGTCAACCAAGAAGTTTATTCGGGTTCACGATTCCAGATTTTTGATCCGAATACACCCAACATAATCAGAAAAGGCACAACGGTTAATCAGCATTGTGGAAACTTTGATCTTATTTTTATTGCACTTGCATCGTGGCATATTTATTTTATAAAAGAAACGCAAAAAAAATAATATATATGCCTAACCTGCATTTGCATTTTTATTTCAAAGATTATTCTAAGGTTTGTCATTAGCTTTAAAGATGGATAACAACATGGAGACAAGCTCAGAGCCTCTTAGAAACACTGCTGCTTATCAGTTTCCATGCTTTGGTGGTCGGTTGCGAGAGGTGGGAGCTCTTGTGAATGGACCAAATGAAAAAGTTTTCAGAAGACAATATGGAAACTTATCTCCATTGGTGAACGATGATCCTGAGGAGTGGGCCGTGAGAACACTTCTTCAGTTCTATGATCCGTGGTTGCGCTGTTTTACTTTCCGGGACTATCAATTGGCACCAACTCTTGAAGAATATGCACACATTATGGATGTCAAGGTGACCAACGGTATTCCTTTTGTTCAAGTACCAGAGACTCCGGACTATATGGCGATCGCCAGAGCTCTTTATTTGACTCATGGTGAAGTTAAAAGTAACTGGATAACAAAAGCGGCACGAGCGGTCTCCCCCTGAATTATTTGATATCAAAGGCCAAGGGTTTTGCAAAGGATATAAATTGGACCGCATTTAATGCACTTCTGGAAGCTATGATTTATGGTTTGGTCCTCTTTCCGGTGTCCAAAAAGTTGGTGCATGTATCCGCATTATGTGTCTTCACGAATGGTAACCTGGTACCAACTCTACTTGTCAACACTTATTACACCATCCATTCCTGACACAGGAAGAAAGGGGAAGTCATGTGTTGCACAATCTCTCTTTACAAATGGTTGATGATGCATATGCCTACAAAAGGGCCTTTTGTTCATACTGTCGATTCGTCTTTATGGTCTCAACGTATCATGGGACTCACCTCGTATGATATTGTTTGGAAAAGTGTGATAGGCTTGAAAGAGATCATTATAGGGTGTGGAGAATTCCCTAATGTCCCGCTTATGGGGACAAGAGGCTGCATTAATTATAACCCTATCCTGGCACACCGTCAATTAGGATTCGCGATGTTAGATAGACCCGCTGAGCGGGAGGTGATGGATACCATTTATTTCGATAAAGGGGAAGATGTAGTGTTGCTTGAAAAGGTGAATATAGCATGGGAACATATTTTCCGTAAAGGGAAACTTTCTTTTAGCCATAATGAAGCTATAGCTTACGATACTTATACGAGCTGGATTCAGGATCATGTGAGAGAGATACAGTTACCTTACAAAAAGGGGAGGTTGCTATATCCTCAACCAAATTTTGACCCATTAATGGATGCTCAGGCGGACAGTTTTTTATCCAATATTGATTCGTCTTCTGTGCAGCCTGTCCCAGGAGGATTAGAGTTCGTGCCTATGACGTGTTTTAAGAACGTCAAGGCTGAAAACTTCAAACTCTAGGCTAAGCAGGAAGAAATGAATGTGGATCTTTCATTTTCTTTGTAAGACAAGAAGAAGCTCATGAAGGAGGTTAAACTGAAGAACCAGTTGCTAGAAAAATATGGTTTCCTTGAGGGGTCGAAGAGGCTTAGGGTCGAGGGTTCTGATACAGCCAGTCGACAAGTTAAAGAGCTACAGGCTAGTCATCAGGAGATGGAAAAGCTCTAATTGGATAAAAAGGAATTGGAATCTAAGCACTGCGAGGAGGTTAAGATTTTAAAGAAAAAGTTGGGCGAGAAAGATGTTCGCTTGACCCAAGTTATGAAAGAGTTTACAATAATCAAAGCCCATGTAGCAAATAAAGACAAGGTTCTAGCAGAAGAAGCCGAGGTGGTAAATATAGGTTCTGAGGATTGGGAACTCAAATATCGTTGTTTATTGGCGCTGGTGAAGAAGAAGGGCTTTATGACTGGAGGCCCTTTTTCCGAGGATGATTAGCCGAATAGTTGAGCTTAAGGAGAAAGTTTTACTACACTTACTATGTTTGTTTTGTTTGACAAGGTCACCGCCAGTCTTGTTGGGCGGGTCCTCTTTAACAATTGACTCTATTTGTACTAAATCACTATTGTATGGATGTTTATTCAAATCTATGATATGAGCAGTTTCTACTCAGATACTTTATCTTTGTTTCGTTTTATCTTGTTGTCTATCCTATTATTTATTGATGCTTGATGAAAAACCACATGATTCTCCTGGAAATGATAAAACACTTCATGCATAACCATTCATCTATGCATACCATATCATGACAGGTGGTCATGGCAGGTTTTCTCATATTTGATTCGGGTTTCTTTACAGAGATTTCTACCACAAATTTTCATCGTTATAATACTCTAAGCACTTCCGAGAGGCAGATGGAACAAATTCAAGAAGATGTTGTGGCTATGGGTACTAGGATGGATACTCGGGTTGACTAGTTGATGGAGATCATTCAGAATATGGCTCGTCAATAAGAGGAAATGAGAGCCATGATTATGAGGCTTGCTGAAGCTTTGAATAGTGGTGGTGAAAATTTGAATGCAAATCTTCCAGGGGTTGTCATCAAAAATCCTAACGGTATTCTGGGGGCTTAGAATATGGTAGAGAATCTGGGAGGTACTCGGAATATGAACTTGGATTCGAATGTCGGTCTAAACATTCAGAATGGTCAACCTGCAAATCTCAGTAATCTTACAAGTAATCAAAGTATCCCTATGATTCAAG